TACCAGTCTGATTCCCCCTTCATTTCCCCTCTCCACCCTATACCCTGCTTCACTCCCGATCTTCTTTACCTTCTCCTCAACCTCTCCTACCTCGGAATTTGTGGTGAATCTCATTTCTTTCTTGTTCAATCCTGCCTGGAATAGCCCTGATAGATCCAACCCGGGAGACATTGAAATGATATCGAATGCGTTCATTTTGGTTAAGTGTTTGCAATCTTTGTCGAACTCTTGGTTCCTGAATTGATGTTCGTCTGTCAAACACGGGAGCTTCATCAGTTCCTCGATGGACATTCTGGTTACCGGATTGGGATCGAGCAGTCGGAAAATTATGCTCCGGGTGGGCTTTGTGATCCAATCCGGGAACTGAAACGCGTGGCTTCGTATTGCACGGTACATGTTTGATATATTGCTGTCGTCGAATGGGAGGTACCCTGCGAGGAAGGCGAAGAGGATGACGCCGCAAGACCACGCGTCGGCCTTGGCGCCGTCGTAGCCTTTTCTGATCATCACCTCCGGGGGTGTAGGCCGGAGTACCGCACGCGGTGTGGAGGAGGCCATTCCGGATCTGCTCCGGCAGCGCGGAGAGGCCGAAATCGGAGATCTTGAGCTTGCCGTCCTTGTCGAGGAGGAGGTTCTGGGGCTTGATGTCACAGTGGGTTAGAAATGACTAGAATACCCTTAACATAACAAGGGTTGAGTCTAATTCCAGTGGGTTGGCCGGGTTCTTGGTCGGATGGGACCAAATGTGGAAAAAAAATTGAAGTTGAGCACCTATTATGTCCAGAATAAAAGTCGTGAATCCCATTTGTCACCACAAGTGAAGTCGAGGGACCAAAAATGGAAAAAACTCTTAAATAATAATTTAACTTGAGAATTTGATGTCCATATTCTCATCCTGAATAAGTTCCTATAATCTAAGCATTATCCTTCACTTAAATAGGTATTAGAACGCTTCTTACAACTTTTTTTTAGATCAATAAGGAGGGGAGAAACCCCAGGAATAAAGCTACTGGTTCATATCTCAGGTTACTCTAAGCCAAGAGCGGCTCAAATGATCATCTTCAAGCAAGTTTCGAATCCTCGCCGGAGATCTGTTAAGCTTCGTGGTAGTGCCCACACTAAATCTCGCCATTTTGGCACTGCCATCAGCCACCCTGTTTTGTATCCCAGAAAATGTGACTCACTCTAATATCCTAAGCTTTATCCCTCCAAGCCTTGGATTTCTCCACAATCTCCTTCATACACCCCCTTGGGCTAGAACCTCCGTTAATCCAATTGATAGCTTCCTGTGAATGCTATTAGGGTCTGTTTGGAAACCCGGAAAATGACTTCTGGAAATCATTTTCCGGGTTTTTGGTGTTTGGGAAGGCTGAAAATGAAATAGTCAAGGAAAATGCTAGCTAGTCAATGGAAAATGAGGGCTAAAATCTAGAAAATGACTTCCCCTTTTTTTTTGGCGGAAGTCATTTTCCATCTTTCAATCAACACATGCAAGCCTTCTTCTCCCTTCACTGCTTCTTCTCCCACTTCACCTCCTCCTTCAACATTCAACAGAGAACTACTAACACATCTCTTCGAACAATCCACAACCACAAAAGCTTCACCAACACTAGAAAAGCTACATATCATTTTTTTAATTCTTTTTTTCAAATATTATGGCTGGGAAACCAGTGAGTCTGGTTTTTCGCATCGAAAATCAGATCTGGTTTCCGATGCGGAAAACCAGTCACTGGTTTCTGATCGGACCAGTGCAGTCATTGGTTTCCGATCGGGAACCAGTGACTGCACTGGTTTCCGATTGGAAACCAGTGAATGGTTTTCCGCATCGGAAACCAGATCTGGTTTTCGATGCGAAACCAGTTGCAATTTTTTTTTTAGACTTTTTTATGCATGTTTCTCAGTCGAATATTAGTTCTATTACCTCCTTTCTTCATTATAATAAACTTGGTGTGCTTGTTTGATTAATGATTTATGAACCTCAATTAATGTCACTGTTCCTTTTCTCCCTTTTTTTTCTGATGTGTGCTCATGTATCAAATAAATAGATCATAGATTGTCAAATTGATATGAATGAAGTCATGATCATAGAAAACATGGCATTTACAGTAATTCATACTTCTATACAATTTTGACTACATGCTTTCTCTACTTATTTAGAATCCCTTAAATCAGCCTTCATTTTTACTCTGATTTCTCAACTTCCTTTCTGAACCTGAGCAAATATTTGAAGGGGACTTTTGAGGTTAAAATCATGTATTGCATTTGTATTTATGACTTATGAGGGTTTCATAGAACTGTCACCATCCAGAAGGAAGGAATAGATGGGCAACATATTTATAGATAACTGATGATTGACCTAGCCATGACTTCTTTGCAGCTGAACCCTCCCACTTCTGAAGCTCTAAAACTAATGCATAAGCTTGCTGCAGGTCCAGGAATTGTGGCAATTATGAATATTGTGACAATAGTTTTAGTACTAGAAAGATAGAAAGCAATGGCATTAGAATTAAATACAATCAAAATTTATGTTGCATATAATTTGTAATAAAAATTGTTATATTCTACAAACAAAAATAAAAATATATTATTCGGTATATAATAATCAAAATGTTTAAGTATGCCATTCTGTTCATTTTCTGAAAAATAAACCAAACACCAAAAGACAGTTTTTCATCATTTTCTGGAAAATGAACCAAACACCAAATGACAGTTTTCCATTGTGCAGCCAAACACAGGAAAGGAAAATGACTTCTGGAAAATGACTCATTTTCCAGAAGTCATTTTCCGAGTTTCCAAGCAGACCCTTAATCTCAACCTACTCAATGCATAAAATTTGCATTGTGGTCCATGTAGCAGTATGTATCATAAAACAAAACGACATCAGATTATTTTAATTACACTTCAATTTTATTTGACAATATTGCTATACTTTTTAGTTTCATTTTTCACGCACACTAGTTTCATCATAGCAACACTAAAGTATCGTTTTAATTTTACTAGTTTCATTTGACAATTGCATGACCTCTACTTTTTTTTTAGTTTCATCTTCCACACACTAGTTTAATTATAGTAATATTGAAGTATAATTTTAAGGAATAAGAGTCAAATAGGCCACTCAACTGTAATTAAGCCATCAAACTAGAAAAAAATGTAATTGGATCCTTGAGAAATACAAACTAATGTAATTCAATCGAAAATGACCTGTTTACCTGAAAGTATACTGACGTAGCGGTTACTAATTTTAAAAATAATTTTAAATAAAATAATTAATTAAAATTAATTTAAAAAAAAAAAAAAAAAAACAACATTTGGCTTCGTCTCCATGAACAAGGAGAGTAAGGGACCTTCGTCTCCTGGAATTAAGTTTCGTTAATGGAACCAACATGTAAAATGAGATAACATAAGTAATTATTATGATAGTCTTATACTTTTTTTTTTTTTTTTTTTTGCATTTAAAAAATTTTATGTAAAAAGTAGTATTTTTTGTTTGTTGCTTTTATTATTAGAGAAAAGGGTCAAATAGACCCCTAAACATTACCCTAAAGGTCAATTAGCCCCCTAAACTTTAAAAAATGTCAATTAAACACTCAAACATGCTAAATTTGGTCAATGAAGCCCAAAAATCGGTAAATGACCTGTTTTTACCGGTCATTTTAATTCCGGCGACGAAATCCGGCCACCGGTGAATTTTTCCGGCGGCCGGCGAATTAATTTTCTGGCACCTTCTCCAATGGAGAAGGCAGCAGGCGGCCGTCTGCCGCCTTCTCCAGTGGAGAAGACGACCAGATCTGGTCGTCTTCTCCAATGGAGAAGAAGTCCGTCTGGTCGTCTTCTCCATTGGAAAAGGCTGGAGAAGGCGGCCGTCCGGTCGTCTTCTCCGGTGGAAGACGACCGGACGGCCGGAAAATTAATTCGCCGGTCGCCGGTAGCCGAAATCCGTCACCGGTGGCCGGATTTCGTCGCCGGAATTAAAATGACCGGTAAAAACAGGTCATTTACCAGTTTTTGGGCTTCATTGACCAAATTTAGCATGTTTGAGTGTTTAATTGACCTTTTATAAAGTTTAGGGCGCTAATTGACCTTTAGGGTAATGTTTAGGGGTCTATTTGACCCTTTTCTCTTATTATTAATATTTTTTTAAAGAGTTAATTTCAGCAATGGTCCTCCGACTATATTGATTTTCTAAAATTAGTCCTTGACTTTTAATTTGGACACTTTAGGTCCCTTGACTTTCAATTTCTTTCCAATTGAGGTCCTTTCGTCAGAATACGGTTAATTGAATTTTAAATGAAGGGGTAAACTCATCATTTCACCTGCCTATGTATTATTCTTAGTATTTTTCCATTGTTTACGCGATATATATGAAAATAATCTTAGTCGAAATCCTAAAATGTTCCTCGTCGTTCCCTATTTGCTGACTACTCGTGTGTGCGTTCCTCTATTATTGAGATGTTTACAAGGTATAACAGCGAAATACGAAGGGAGAAATACGAAGAATAATACATAGGCAGGTGAAAGGACGAGTTTACCCATTCATTTAAAGTCTAATGAACCGTATTCTAACGAGAGGACCTCAATTGGAAAGAAATTGAAAGTCAAGGGACCTAAAATGTCCAAATTAAAAGTCGAGAACTAATTTTGAAAAATCACTATAGTCGGAGGACCATTGCTGGAATTAACTCTTTTTTTAAATATATATGAAACGACTTATTTTTTTTGGAGTTTATTTTTTTTTTAAAGAAAAAGTTCAAAAGAAATATGTCTGACGTGTCAAATTGGATTCATACGTGGCAGGAAGTTATTGGTTTGAACAAGCGAGCACAACTCTACTCTAAACATACCTTCTGTCATGTAGCAAACTAACAACCTTGTTCTGACCGCCCGATGCTTGAAATGAACGGCGGATGAGAATTCTTACAACGTCATAATTTATATTTAATCATCACAGTCAGGAACAAAAATAAAGTATAAATAACAAATACTGTAAATTTATTTTCAGTTCAGAAAAATATTTTTTTAGAAAATGAAAAAAAGAAAATAAATTATCTCCGCGTCGTTCATTTCTTTGTTGAATTCTAAGAGAGAACAGTCCGAGAATTCTCTGATCCTCTTAGGTCCTCATCGATTCAATTCAGCAATATTTTCATTAATCAAATATTTTAGAGATTTTTCCCCCCTTTCATTCCTGCAAATTGCTTCAATGGCTTCAAGTTCTCACAGAAGTGGTGATTTCTACGGTGCCGCGCCGTATCGATCAAGGTAATTTCAGACTTTTTTTTTTACGATCTTTTTGAGTGATGTTTTTAATTAATCATCTAATTGTACTTCTGCAAAAGGATAGTGACATTTGAAGTGCGAGTTGAAACTCTGCAATTTGAAAGGAATACTAAGAATTTTGTGTGATTTGTGCTTAATCTGAACAGAGAAGGATTAAGCACGAGACAGGTAGGCGGTTCGGATGAAATACAGTTGCGTATTGATCCGATGCATGGAGATTTGGATGACGAGATCACTGGTCTTCGCAAGCAAGTTAAACAGCTTAAAAGTGTAATTAGTTTTCTTTTTCATTTTAAATTATGTAATTAATTTCGATAATTCTTTTGTGTGTTTTATTTGTTTTGATATTACACTATTTATGAAGTGAAGTGACTTTTGGCTGTGTACTTAAATGCTTAGATATGTAATGTATTGGAACTTGGCATATTAGGGTTTGGAGGTTCCTTCTAATTCTTAATCAGGAGTAGATCCTTCTATTCAAATTGGTGTTTTTAAGATTAAGCTAGATGTCAGATTAAATCAGATGATTAGGAAGTTTATGCTTTGATTATAATGATGGTGAAGGGATTCGCTTGTCATTATCTTGTTAGATGTTGCTAACTGTAAGCTGCATGCTAGCTTAGACAGTGAAGTGCCATGTCGATTGAAGCTAAGAAGTTTTATAACCATTAGGCTAAATTCAGTCCACCTTATTGGCTAGTTAATTGGGAGGAGAAAGCATTTTTGTCTCTACGTGCTTGGTGCTTCTTGTGTCATATACAATTGGATGAAATAGTGGTGATCCACTACTTGCCAGAGATGTGGAAGCAATAAGAGAATAAACCAAGAATGAGGGAAATATATTTTATGTATTTCAACAGAATTGAATGTATTGAGTTGTGTGTCAAATTTCAATGTTGATGGTATTTACACCAAGTTTTGGTGCACATAATAGGGAACCTAGAATTCCTTCCATCTCTAGAATTCCTAAATTACTAGGAATGTGATGTAATCAAGTGAACTCCTAATACTTATAATATTTCTAACTTTGTAGATAACCAACTAATCTAAATATAGGGACACTTATCTATTCTTATTTGGTTGTGAAGAAAGACATGGTAGTTAAAGGAGTCATGATCAAGTTAGTGCTAAAGAGGAGCTGAGTGGAGAAATAGAAACAATGGGGTTTGCCCAATCTAAAGTAGGATGCACAGGAAATTCATTGTTAATACTATGTATACTGCTGGCTCAGTGGGAATAGATGTCTCTGAGTTCTGTTGTTCTTTCTAATGGAAATTTAATCAACTGGCTATTGTTATATTGACCACTTCACTGTTGTAGTAAGAATTTGTGTGTGCATGTGAGTGCCAATAGGAGAACTCTTCTAAATATCTTTGTGTTGATTTATTATTATTATTTTTCAATGTCTCTATTTTGATTCTGTTATGAAAATTGGTTTTGCACGGCAAACTACTTTCTTGTTTCAAGGCTACAATTTATTATTCTGTTTATCTTAATCCTTTTAGATTTGCTTTGCCATTCCTCTTTGCAATTTCTTAGTTATGTGTGGTATTGCAGGTAGCTCAGGAGATTGAATCAGAAGCTAAATTCCAGAATGACTTTATTAGCCAGCTGGTATGTGTCATGCATTGCAGAATATTTTCAGCCTTGAGAATTATAGCTTTTATAATAGTGATTGCTGGTGGCATTATCTTTTTGAATCTATCTATGTTTACCATCTTCACATCATACTTGTCTGCATTTTGAAATATTTTTGTGCATTATAAAACATTATCACAAAGTAGGAGAAACCAGACGCATGACAGACTAAGCTTTAGAAATGTGTATGACTGTATGCTGTAAGATATCAAATTAAAACCTATATATTATTTTTTGTGTATAACCCCCCCACCCAACCCCACCCCAACACACACCACCACCACCAAACAAAAATGTCAAAAGCTATTCTAGTTATTAGCAGTGTTGCAAAAATCGCGCCTAGGCGCCGCCCGGCCGCGGCGAGGAAGGCCGGAATCGGCCTCCTCCGCGGCCGGCGATTATTTTTTTTATTTTTTTATTTTTTTAGGGTTTAGGGTTAAAAACTTTGCGAAGGCATAACTTTTGACTCGGTTGTCCGTTTTGGACAAATTTTTTTTTCAAATCGCGTATTTTTTCGAGATCTACCCACCGCAAACTGCCAAAGGTTGTTTGCCCCACCAATTTCTCAAAAAGATGCTTCTTTTTGCTCTTAATTTTAGTTTTTTTTTTTTTTTTTTTTTTTTTTTTTTTTAAATGTATTTAGATGGTTTTAACAATATTTTAAACAATTTTATAGCCACTTAAATAAATAGTTTGTAAGAAAAAACGATGAGAACCTTGTGTTTTATTAGTGAATTTTGATAATTTTTAATTTTTAATTTTTTTACATTTAAAAAATTTAAAAAAAAAAAAATTAAAACAAATTAAAAATCGGTGCCTAGGCGCCTAGGGGGCACCTAACGTGTTTTGCAACCTTGGTTATTAGTTTAATACTCTGCATTCCTGCTAATATTAACCTGCTGTAAAATATTATTTCAGCTTTGCTCATAAGTGCATGGGATTTGTTCTTTGTAGCAAAGATAGCCAACCCTACATCCTTTTTTTTTTTTTTTGAATACCAACGGAATAACTTCATTAAATGCTCAATAAATCAACGATACACGAGGGCGGGTTAGCCAACTACATCCTTTAATTTGTCATGATATATGCATTCTGGGCCTTTTAGTCATTTTTTGTATATGTTCTTTGTCCATTCCACAGCAAATGACATTGATCAAAGCCCAAGCTGGAGTGAAGAACAATATGAGGCGGCTGAACAGGAGTATCATCCAGGAAGGAGCAAACCATGTTATGCATGTGGTTCTTTTTGCGCTGCTATGTTTCTTTGTCATCTACTTATTGGCCAAGTTCTCACGGCGATAGTGGGAGTCTCTCTCATATTCTCTGGAGAGGCTAAAGGATTCTCCCTGCACACCAACTTGCACAATTTTGTTCAAGCCCCACTTTTGCCAGAGATTGTTGCTGACTGAGCAGAAACATATGTACTTAATTAAGACACATTTGAATTCTGTGATCTGTACATATTATTGGGTGAGGAACTTACAACTTTGGATTGCAAAGAATTGAACTTTTAAGTTTTCAGACATGAACTGTGGAAGAAGAAAGGGTGTGCAGTATATATATATATGTATAACCTATCTGCATTTTACCAGTTTCCTCCACCGTCCTCAACTCGAGGTAGGGGATATTATCAAAATTACATCAATTCCTATTATATGCAATACTTGCCATAAGCCCATGAATATTCGAATTTAATTTTTATAAACTAATTTTCCATGAATATTTGATATCTTACTTGGGGTGAGGGAGGATGGTGGAATTCATTGGGTGTTGATTGTTGAAGTTGAAGGCGTAACTTTGATGATGGAGGAGTGTATGAAGACGGTTTTGGTGGATGACAATGCGAAGGCTGGAATCAGACGTTATGCCATGGAACCGTGTTCACCATGAATGGTGAACACGGTTCTAACGGTGTTAGTACACCGTTATCTTTTTTTTTTTTTTTTTTTTTTTAATTAATTGCGTGACTTTTCTTCTTTATTTTCACATTTTGCGGTTTCACTTTAATTTGAGGTGAACAAAGATTTCGGACATTCATAAATTATGAATTCATGCCTGTACAATCACTTTGGAACCATGCTTACACATTCCCGTCCGAAATCACGGACATTCATAAATTATGAATCCATGGCTGCACATTCACTTTGGAACCATGCCTACACATTCACTTTGGATCCATGAGATTATGAATTTTCTGTTATAAGATTATGAATTTTCTGTTATGAGATTATGAATTTTCAGTTATGAGATTATGAATTTTCTGTTATGCGATTATGAATTTTCTGTTATGAGATTATGAATTTTCATTACATTCGTAAATTATGAATTCATGCCTGCACATTCACTTTGGAACCATGCCTACATATTCCCGTCCGAAATCACGGACATTCATAAATTATGAATCCATGCCTGCACATTCACTTTGGAACCATGCCTACACATTCACTTTGGAACCATGAGATTATGAATTTTCTGTTATAAGATTATGAATTTTCTGTTATGAGATTATGAATTTTCAGTTGTGAGATTATGAATTTTCTGTTATGCGATTATGAATTTTCTGTTATGAGATTATGAACTTTCATAAAATTCATAATCTCATAACAGAAAATTCATAATTTGATCAAACGCGCGCCGTTAACTCCACATCCGCGATTATTTTTTTTTTTTTTTGGCCTAAAAACGACGTCGTTTTGCCTTGTGTTCACCATTCTCGGTGAACACAATTCCATGGCATAATTTGCGGGCTGGAATTTAGTCATGTGGACATTAATTTTATTTCATCTTTTCAGTCGTTGGATTTTTCTCCTATCAATTGTTGCGAGTCTAAAATTGTATGGTAATTATTTCTAACGTGAATTGTTAGAGGAATCTTAATGGTGAGTTGCACAAAACAAAAAAAAAAAACACAAAAAAACCAACCCCTACCCAATAGTTAGTATGTATCATTGACTGTATATACAAAGATATATGTTTTAGTTAATTACGGAGTATCATACTTATTTCCCCGTTAGTATGTATCATTGACTGTATGTACAAAAATGTATGTCTAAAGTTTGATAGAATAAGAATAGTACTATCAATATGAGTTCAACTCGATGGGTCAAACTTATTTAACCCGTATTTTAAACGGGTTGAGTCGGAGAAATTCTGACTCATTTCATACGTGACTCAACTCATTTAGCCCGTATTAAATACGGGGGCTAAATAGGCAATTTATATCCTACACCACGGCGCGCGTTGCACTATGCGCCCAGATGCAAAACGACGTCGTTTTAATTATTATTATTTTTTTTTTGAAATTTCCCGCCCCAGTGAATGGCAGTAGTTTTTTCTTAAAAAAAAAATCCGCTGTTCAAGAATGTACATAATGTTATACCAGAATACACATAATGTTATACATGAATGTACATAATTATATAACAAAATATACATACTCTTTTTAAAAGATAATACACATAATCTAACATAATACATAATAAACATAAACTTTTAACATAATACACATCAACTCTTAACATAATACACACAAATTTTCTGATTCGGATGTACATAATCTATATATATATATATATATATAAGTAAAATCCTCTAAACAAAATTTCCCCCCAAAACTTTTGTAGTAAAACTTATTTGGTAAGTAAATGTCAAATAGGAATTAAATAAATAATAATAATAATAATGTTATTACCTTAAATAAATAAATTATTATACTTTCCCTTAAATAAATAAATTATTATACTTTCCTTTTGAATTAGTATTTTCTACCTATAAATACAAGAGCTTCTTCAATCAAAGAATCTCAGACTCATCTTTCTGCTTTCTTTTTGTATGAATTTTCTACATTTTTCTAACTATATTCTCACGTACTTCAATATGTTTTGCAGTTTGGACATCATGAATAGCTTCATCAACGATATCTTCTTGAAGCTCGCCCAAGAGGTGACTCGCTTGGCCCACTACAACAAGAAGCCGATAATCACTTCCCGCGAGATCCAGGCTGGCATGAGATTGGTTCTTCTTGGCGAATTGGTAACGCACGTTGTCTCTCTAAAAACACTAAAGCAGTCACCATATTTACAAGCTCTTAGATGAAATCATTTAAATCTATGTTTCGTTTTATATAATCTCAATTAGGGATTAATAGATGTAAAGTAACTTGAATTTGAGTTTAATTTCATATTATTCTTCCAAAAGGTTTAATTTCATATTATAAGTATTGTTATCTACCTTCAACTATCAGTGAATCGATTAGCATTCTCAAAAAATAAAAATAAAAAAAATTGAATGTCTATATCTATGTGCATTTAAGATGCAACATGTGTATAATTCATTAGGCTTTGAGGCAGGAGAACACATCTGGGTACATTGGTGGATCTGTATCTCATTGCAAAAAAAATATCCATACAATTAATTAATTAATATAATTACAATTATCTTTATTCTAATTCAAAAAAAAACTAAAGAATTAATTGTAATAATGAAATTTGTTATTAATATTCTGTTACTAATTGACACAGAAATCAGACTAAAAGAAAAACGAAATTAATATTAAAAATGGTCTCGAATTAAAAAAATGTGTTTAATAAGTAAATAACTAATTTGCTAGACAGAAAATTAGGGTAAAGGAAAAAGAAAATGATTATTAAACATTGTACCAGATTGTTTTTATGATTGAAAATGAATATTACAAACGTACCAGATTGTTTTTATGACCAGAAATAAGAATGAATTTTACACACGGGAATCTATTATTAATATTCTGTTATACTAATAGGCATGGGAATCATGCCAAATGAAAAAATGATTTAATATTAAAAATTTATTGGAAATATAACACAGTTTTCCCTACGAAAAATTAGTAACCACCAAATGAAATATTAGGAAAAAATTATGAAGAAAAAATAAATGGAAACAAATATTAACTCTTTCTATGAATGAAAAAAGGAAATGAATATATCCATATTTCACTTAAAATATAATCAGTAATTATATTATATTATTATAATTATATTAATTATTTATGAAGAAAAAAGGAAATGAATATGAAAGGAAAAAATAAAATTTAGACACGAAAATCTATTATTAATATTCTGTTATACTAATAGACACGGGAATTAGGCCAAATGAAAAAAAAAAAGATTTAATATTAAAAATTTATTGAAAATATAACACTGCTTTCCCTATGAAAAAATTAGTAACCACCACGTGAAATATTAGAAAAAATTATGAGGGAAAAATAAATGTAAATGAATATTAATTCTTTCTATGAGTAAAAAGGGAAATGAATATATTCATATTTCACTTAAAATATAATCAGCAATTATATGATTATGATTATAATTATTATAATTATATTAATTATTTATGAAGGAAAAATGAAATGAATATATTAATAGTTTACTGGAAATATAATTAGTAATTATATTTTTTATAATTATATTACTTTTTAATTATGTGGAAATGTGGAAATGAATATTAATTCTTTTTATGAACGAGAAAGGAAATGAATATTTCACAAAGAAATCTGTTATTAATATCATGTTACTAATCGACATGGAAATCAGGCCAATTAATCGACAATTATTAGAAAAATGAATAAAAATCAATATTAATTCTTTATATGAAGGAAAGAAAAAAAGAAATATATATATTCAAAAGGAAATGAAATATGAAGAAAAACGAATGAATATGTTTATATTTCACTAAAAATATAACACAGCTTTTGGCACAGAAATCGGACCAAAAGAAAAAATAAATTAATATTAAAAATGGATTCGAATTAAAAAAAAAACGTGCTTAATAAGTAAATAACTAATTTGCTACACAGAAAATTAAGGTAAAGGAAAAAGGAAATGATTATTAAACATGTATCAAATTGTTTTTGTGATTGAAAATGAATATTACAAACATACCAGATTGTTTTTATGACCAGAAATATGAATGAATTTTACACATGAAAATTTATTATTAATATTATGTTACTAATAGGCATGGGAATCATGCCAAATGAAAAAAGGATTTAATATTACAAATTTATTGAAAATATAACACAATTTTTCCTACAAAAAAAAAAAAAAATAGTAACCACCAAATGAAATATTAGGAAAAAATTATGAAGGAAAAAGAAATGGAAACAAATATTAACTCTTTCTATGAATGAAAAAGGAAATGAATATATCCATATTTCACTTAAAATATAATCAGTAATTATATTATTATAATTATATTAATTATTTATGAAGGAAAAAGGAAATGAATATGAACAGAAAAAAATGAATTTTACACACGAGAATCTATTATTAATATTTTGTTACTAATAGACACAGGAATCAGGCCAAATGAAAAAAAAGATTTAATATTAAAAATTTATTGAAAATATAACACCGCTTTCCCTACGAAAAAATTAGTAACCACCACATGAAATATTAGGAAAAAATTATGAAGGAAAAAGAAATGGAAATGAATATTAACTCTTTCTATGAGTGAAAAGGGAAATGAATATTACTCATAATGAATAAATATATGAATTATTATACATAGTAGCATGAAATTAATTAGTAGGACAATTATATTAGGTAATATAATTAATAATTTACTTTTTAAATTATATTCCCTTTTTAATAATGAATATTTTCTTAAAGTATATACACAGATTATGCTTATCAATATAGAATTAAAAGTGTATAGATGTATAATATTATTAGTACAATATCAATTATACTTGCCTTAATAATTAATTATTAATATTATTGCCTAATAATTATGTGTTGTCACCTTTTTCGGGGTAATTATTATGGTAATTTATATACATATATATTTTTATACTTAATGTATAATATTATTGGGCACAAAATAAATATACTTACCCTAATATATATAGATTATTTTTAATATAATTTCCTAATTTATTAAAGGTAATTATTCTCATAATTTTTCTTTCATTCTTTTGTGTAATTACTATGGTAATGTATTTAAATATTAGAAGAGAAAAATGTTATAATTAATATAATTAATGAAATTAATATTGTAATTGCCACAATACTTGGTAATTATAAATAATATAATTAAGAAATTTGAGAAATATAAGATTTCTTCCGTAGAAATATTTGTGACAATTTCATTAAATTATAATTAATAAAATATGAAATATAATTAAAGAAATGAAATTATAAAATTAACAAAACATGAATATTTATAATTTTTTTTTTAAATATACATACATACACTTTTTAAATTTCTAAATAATAATTTTTTAAGTATAAATCTATCAATATAAATTAAAATTAATGAAATTATATTATAATTTTCCTATATACATATTAATAAATATTATGTGTATATACAATGTGTTATACAATCATATAAGGATATGCGTCCGATTAGAGTTTATATTTGTTCATACAAAATTTAGAATTTAAATTTTTATTGATTTCTAAGTACAATTCTCTTAGTTATTATTATTCATATTTTTAGAATTAATAATATATATATATATATATATATATATATATATATATATATATATATATATATATATATATATATATATATATAAAATACAATTTGAAATAAATCAACTTAATTATATGAATTTTTTCTATAAATTTATCTAAATATGTACATGATTAGAGATTATATTAACCATACAAAATTTAAATTTAAATTTTGTATGTTATGAAAATAGATACTTGACCAAATATATAAAAGTCCAACTATATTATTATATTGTACATTTTAACATTTTTTTATTTTTATTTTTATTTTAAATTCATAAAAACAAAAAAACAAAAAAAAAATTCCGTGCAACACACGGGTAAAACACTACATTTAAAAAAAAATACAATTTCATAAATATCATAAATTAATTAGTACAATATCATTTATATTTATAACAATTAAAGAAAAAAATAAATAATTTCAAATATATGAACCAATGATTTCAAAATCAAACTAATATACAGTTACAAATAAATATAGTATGATTAGATTTACTTTAATTTGTTTTAATTCCCTTAATCATATGACTTTTCTTTATCAGTTTTTTGGGAGAGACTAAGGGAGTGTTTGAGTTGCTGGAAATTATTATTATTTTTTGAATACTTACTAATAAAAAAAATTAAAATATTTTTCCCCCCGTCCCCTTCCCCCCAATAACATGTGTAAATCTTATATTTTTTAAAATTACAATTTGATAAATATTATAAATTAATTAGTAGAATATCATTTATGTTTATAAATTATAATAATTAAAAAAAATTCATATATGTGAATCAATGATTTCAAAATGAAATTAATATACAGTTACAAATAAATATAACATGATTTGATTTACTTTAATTAATTTTAATTTCCTTAATGAAATGGCTTTTCTTTTATCAGTTTTTTATGGGAGGCTAATGGAGTGTTTGGATTGCTATAAAATATTTTAAAATAAAAATTCATACTAATAAAAAATCATTTTAAAATGTTTTTTTAACCCCTCATAATATGTGTAAATTTTATATTTTTAAAAAATACAATTTGATAAATATCATAAATTAATTAGTACAATATCGTTTCTGTTTATAATAATTAAAGAAAAAATAAATAATTGAAATATGTGAACCAATTATATCACAATAAATCTTTCAAAATTTAAAACAAAAGAACGAAAATTAAAAATAGAACGAAAATATTTCAATAATAATATTCTACATCATCAAGTAAAAGTAAATTAAAAATGAAAAGATAATATTTCAATAATAATATTCTACATCATCAATAGTAAATGCATATTTTAAACAATAGTAAAGGTAAATTAAAAATGAAACGGAAATATTTCAATAATAATATTCTACATCATCAATAGTAAAGGCATATTTTAAACAATAGTAAAGGTAAATTAAAAATTGAACGGAAATATTTCAATAATAATATTCTACATCACCAATTAAAAATAAAACTGAAATTAGGTAAAAATACCATTGCATATGATATTCTAATTGATTAATTGACGGAAAATAAAAAGAATAATTGGTTGAAAATGAATATGATATTACTAATTGACTGATATTTTACGATGATATATTTTCACCCGAGTCACCCATTCTAATGGACTGAAGATGTTAGCTATAGACGATGATGGACAAGATTATGTTGCTACTACCAATGTCGTCTACAATATGAGGTTTTAATAATGTGTAAATACAATTGGTGATATTATGTTTTTTTTTAATGACAAAATTGCTATATATCTACACACAAAAAAAATAAAATTTTTTAAAGCAATTTAGACAAAAAAAAATATTTTTCATACAAATGAATTAGGATAGCAATTCATTCCTATAACTGAGTTGCTAAAGAATAAGCACGTTTGCCTAATTTATAAAAATACTAAACAATGATAAATAAAAGCTTCAAAGTTACAACACTGCATGCGTATATCTACACATTAGCTATTAATTTGAGCAATTATTTGTTTAAATTCAAGCAACGATAACATCAAAACATATAAACGATCCAAACTATATCTTCAATTGCACTATATAATATTTATAATGTTCTAATTTAAATAATTATATATCAATCCAGATATTCTTAATATATTACAACAAATTCACGGGCGAAACCATATATTTAATTGCACTATATAATATTTGAGTTATTACTGAAAATATCAGTCTTTAATCACGGTTAATTGTATGTTACTTTTTTCCGAATCACCCATCCTGATAGTCTGATAGTTTTAACTTTAGACGATGATGGATAAAATTCCGTTACTATTGCAATGTCGTCTAGCTATAAAGAGAAAATGACAAAATTGCTATATAGCTGATCTACATAGAAAATATATCTTCTGTATAAATAATTTATATAACTGAGTTGCTAGACAACGAGCTAATTAGCCCAATTAATACAAATTATAAACATTGATATATAAAATCTCTAAAGTTGCAACACCGAATGCGTATATCTACACGTTAGCTATTAATTGGGCAATTATTTATTCGAATTCAAGCATTGATAACATCAGAAAACATAATCGGTGCAACTCAATTCTTCAATTATATTATATAATATTCGATTTTATAATTTATACAATTGTATATCGATATAAATATTTTTAAAATTTTATAACAAATTCATTCCGTGCAACGCACGGGCACAAATACTAGTTGTATAAAAAGAATTTACATAATTGTATAAAAAATACACATAACTGTATGAACCAATACACATAACGTTGTGAACAAATACACATAATCTCAGCAACTTCCTACCGCGCCTCCTAACACTACCCTTAAACGACGTCGTTTTGGGAGGTGCGCGGCGCACAGTGCTATGTGCGCCGTGGTGTAGGATATAACGATTGGGCTAAATAGGCTGAACCCGGATAATCCACGAGTTACCCGGCCCCCATATATAATAAAAAAAAATAAAATTTAAAGTTATTTTTATATTTCACATTTTTTGTGACCTCCTTCTCCGCCTATTCCCTCGCGTTTCACTCCTGCGGCTGCGACCAGCGAGTCTCACCGACGGGCGACGGCGAGAACCTCGACCTCGACCAGCGAGTGTCCACTCCAGCCCTGCTCCGTGAAAACCGAGAGGCGAGACCGCGACTGCTCTACGCTACTGCTGCTCGCCTGCTCTCCACTCCACCGACTCTCCTCTCGGCTGCCTGCTGCTCGTCTGCTCCACTGGACGGCTGGACCACCGCTGACTGCTCTACGCTACGCCTCTACTGCGTACTGGTAATATAATTATTTTGTAGTAATTTATATTTTCTTTAATCTTTATGATTATTGTTAATGAATATGATTTGATTGTGAATAACTGAATATGATTTGGTTGTTGTTGACTCGCTGGATTAGTGTTACTGTGAATAGGCCTTATTGTTGTTGCCTATACTGCCTTTAGTATCATGTTTTTAATTAAAGTTAAACTTTTTGCAGCAAAATGACATCTCCTAGTTTGAACTATAGTGGTAGTGCTACTGGATTTAATGCCCAATTTGATTCACCAGTTTAGGATCTCTGAAAAAAACATGATGTTCTCACTCAAACCCACTTCAATTTCTTCTTCAACTACGACGAGGAGAATTATAAGCAGCTATTTTTGCCCTGTCGCAATTTGGCGTCTCCTCCATACTCACCCCTCATCTCTCCAAAATGACGATGTAGATGTAATCTTTCGCATCGTTACTACATCAAGAACTCCAGAGGACATGAAACAGTCCTTGAAATCATCTCAAATTTCTATCTCAAATGAATTGATTGACGGAGTACTCAAAAGGGCAAGATTCTCTCACTCGAACCCATTGCCAGTCCTGGAGTTTTTCAAATTTACTTCAAAGAGACGTGAGTTTTTCCATACTGCTCTTTCTTATGACACTATGTTGTATATTCTGGGTAGAAACCGGAAATTCGACGAAACATGGCAAGTTTTAGCGGAAATGAGGAGAAAGGACCAGTCTTTGATTACTCCCAGAACTGTTCAAGTGGTTTTAGCTAGGGTGGCTAAGGTCTGTTCCGTCACGCAGACAGTTGAGTCGTTTTGGAAGTTCAAGAAACTTGTTCTCCACTTCGATACCCAGTGTTTCAATGCTTTGTTAAGGGCATTGTGTCAGGAAAAGAGTATGGTTGATGCTAGGAATGTGTACCATAGCTTGAAGAGGGACTTCGAGCCTAATTTGCAGACCTTTAACATACTCTTGTCGGGTTGGAAATCGTGTGAGGAGGCCGAGGGGTTTTTCGCAGAGATGAGGGAATTGAGTGTGGAGCCAGATGTTGTTTCGTATAATTGTTTGGTTGATGTTTATTGTAAGGGGAGAGAGGTTGACAAGGCCTTCGAGGTTATGAAGGAAATGAGGAAGAGGGATATTGATCCAGATGTGATAACTTATACGAGTTTGATTGGGGGTCTAGGGCTAGCAGGGCAACCCGATAAGGCCAAGAAACTTTTGACCGATATGAGGGAGTGTGGATGTTACCCTGATGTTGCTGCTTATAACGCTGCCATTAGAAATTTCTGTATTGCGAAGAGGATCGAGGATGGATTTAAGCTAGTGGATGAGATGGTAAAGCGGGGGTTGAGCCCAAATCCGACTACTTATAATGTGTTCTTGAGATCGTTTCATTGGGCAAATGATTTGAAGCGTGCTTGGAGTTTGTATGAGAGGATGAAGAGGACCGGGTGCATGCCCAACACGCAATCATGTATGTTCTTGATCAGGTTGATTAGGAGGCAGGAGAATGTGGAGATGGCACTCGAGTTATGGAATGATATGGTGGAGAAAGGGTTTGGCTCGTATACATTGGTGTCTGATGTTTTGTTCGATTTGCTTTGCGATTTGGGGAAGCTGAAAGAGGCGGAAAGGTGTTTCTTGCAAATGTTGGAGGCGGGGCATAAACCTAGTTTTGTTGCTTTTAGGAGGGTGAAGGTTCTTATGGAATTGGCTAATAAGCACGAGGCGATTCAAAACTTGTCGGACAAGATGGCTGCTTTTGGTTCCGCAATTAAACTCAGGCTTGAGAGCGAGACCAAGTTTGAAACATCGGCTTCTGATAAGTTTCTAGAATCACATACGATGCGTTGAGGCATTTTCCTCACCACAACCCCAAAATGAAAGGAGAAAATCAAAATTTCTCTCCCACCTTATATGGAATATGTGTTTCCCATGTTCATGGAAAATAATCACTTTTCGATTAACAAATTGGCATCACAACATGATTCCGAATTCTCTTCCTTTCCATTCTTCATCTTTCTTATCAGTGGGAGTACGGATACGTTGTCATGATGTTGCTGCTTATAATGCTGCTATTTGCATTACAAAGCACATTGGGAATGCACTTAATAAAGGAGTCGAGGAGATGGTAAAACAATGATTTGAAACAATCTTGGAGTTTGTACGAGGACGAAGGCGACTGGGTGCTTGCCAAACACACAATTCTGTATGTTTTAAAATCAGAATATAGGAGAATATGGAGATGGCACTTAAGTTGTGGAATGACATGGTGGACAAAGGTTTTGGCTCACATACATTGGTGTCTGATGTTTTTATTCAATTTTTTTTTTAATGATTTGTGAAAGCTGAGAGAGGCAGAAAGATAGTTTTGCTTTCAGGATGACAAAAGTTATTATGGAATTGGCTAAATTTGTCAAAGAAGATTTCTGCTTGACTGCTTGGTATTTAACAATATTCTTTCAATGTTGAGCTGGTATAGTTTTCAAATTTCAAAACAATCTTTTTCTGTGATTGCAGTAAGTAGTCATGTTGACAAAGTTCTCCGACCTTCAGCTTTGTCCATTAATTTGTTTGTTTTATTATTTTTTTAAAATTAAACTAAAAATTTTAAAATTCAATAGTAAAACATAAGGTAAAATGGACAATCGAGTCAAAAGTTGTGCCTTGTCAAAGTTTCTACACTTTTCAATACCAAAAAAAAAAAAAAAAAATCCGGCCGGTTCAGGGCGGCTGCTTAGCCGCTTGGCAGCGGAGGAGGCCGACGCGGCCGGACGGTGCCTAGGTGCGATTTTTGCAACACTGGTAAAAGTCTTATTTATTTTGAAAATCAATTTCTCTAAAAAATGCATCACTATTTTGTCATTAATTTAGTTATGAATTGAATCCATAGCTAAACTTGTTGACATTAATGTGTTTTCTTGTAGTGTATATTATGCAAAATATTTTTGGATTCAAAATTATAATTATTTTTATTTATATGATTTACCACTATAATGATATAATTAAGTATTTCTCTTTAATTTTACAACTATATCAAACCAACATTACAACCTGATGCGAAATGGACTCTATGTCTAAGCTCGATTGGGCTGGGGAGCAGAAGCCCAAGGATTAATTAGGTCCAGAGGATGGCTAGAGGGTCGTTATATCGTGGACCGCGATGCACGTGCATCGAGGTCAAAACGATGGCGCGCCGTTAGTGTTAACGGAGCACACATTTTTTTGTATGTTAATTACCAACTGACACTGCAGTATATCTAAATCAACACTGCCTCACATATTATTTTTATATTATCAAATGAAACTGCAGTTATATCAAAATGATACTATAGTTGTGGTGAAATAAAACTGCAATGTATATAAAATGAAACTGAATTACATTTCTCATATTTAAGTGTATATTGTACAATGAAGCTGTAATTATATCAAAATGATCATGTAGTTATGTTTTAATAAAACTATAGTGTGTATAAAATAAAATTAAATAACATTTTCACATATTTGAGTTTATAAATATCGAATAAAACTGTAGTTATATCGAAATGAAACTTTAGTTGTGTTGAACTGAAACTGCAGTATATACAAAATGAAACTGAATAACAGAGTTACTTTTTGCGAAATGGTGTGAAACGGCAAGAAATGGATGTTGTTTCTTTTTATTAAACAAAACGACGTCGTTTTGATGTGCGGTGCATAATTGATTATGCACCGTGGTGCACGATATAATTTGCCATGGCTAGAAGTCATGGGCAATTTGGGGGACCTATGTGAGAAGGGGGGAGGAGTTAGGGGTGCGAATTTGGCTAACGATCAAAGTTAAGGGGGTGAGAGTGTACATAAAGAATAAATGGATGGGGTATAAAGCGAACAAATGGAAAAGTTTAAGGACTAGAGTGTGACAAGACTAAAGTATATGATATCAAGGTGCAAAGATTGTGAATGGGGGCTAATTGACAAATAATGGGAAAATAGGGTCTATATGGTAGATATTTATGATTGGAGGGTCTATATTGAAAAGTTTGACCTCAAAAATTTGTCCACTTCATCAAGAAAAAGTCTAGACATGAAGACAGTTGAGTATCATTAGTCATTACTGCTGTCTTCTGAGTACCCAAATGCAGCAAAACTAAAGAAAAGTCAAACTTGAGTAATTAGACAGACTGTTATTTTGAAACTACTCTCCATCACAAGTTTACTTATCTATTTTCTGCTTCGAAATCAAGAATCGAGCATGGCAGGAGGAGTAAAGCTGCTAGGAAACTGGGCAAGCCCTTTCGCCCTGAGGGTGAGATGGGCCCTGGAACTCAAAGGGATCAAATATGAATACCACGAAGAAGATCTAACAAGCAAGAGTGCATTGCTACTGCAATACAATCCTATTCACAAAAAGGTTCCGGTTCTGGTTCATGATGGAAAGGTTATAGTGGAATCGTTGGTTATACTGGAGTATATTGAGGAAACCTGGAAGAATACCCCCCTCCTCCCTGATGATCCCTATGAAAGAGCCATGGCTCGTTTCTGGGTTAAATTTGCCGATGACAAGGTAATTGGAGGATTTAATAGAGAGCAAATGAGTCAATTTCGATTTGTTTGGTTCATAAGGTGTTGATCAACATTGGTGCTTTTTGCACAGAGTGCAATCATGTATGCTTTTGGAATTGTACCAAAATTCACAGCACTTGCTGCAACCCTAAAAGCATACGTGATTGAATCCGGTACAAAAGGTGTCAGTAGTAGTTCCCCCTAACATGCTACCCAAAGATATAGGAGCCATGCCTGCCTTGCATGTTTATATTCCTTGCTCTACATACCTGATACTCGCGGTTTTTCTTATTCCAGTGTTTCCCAGCGATGAAGGGAGTTTTTTTCAGCCAAGGAGAAGAGCAGCAGGCTTTTGTCAAAGAAGTTTGTCACAACCTGAAATTTCTTGACAGTGCTCTCAACCGCAACTGCTGCTTTGGTGTTGCAAAGATCGGTTTTGTGGATGTCGCTTTAGCTTGGATTGTATGCTGGGCTCAGGTGATTGAGGAGATTGTGGGTGTGAAACTCATCCTTGATGAGGAAATGCCTTCCCTTGCCAAATGGCACCAGAATGCCCTTGAAGCTGCCCCTGTTCTGAAAGAGTGCACACCGCCCCGAGAAAAACTGGTGGAGCATTTCAAAGGCTTCCGCAAGATGCTTGCAGCTGCATCAAACTGAAATATTTTTTCGATTAGTATGGCTTAAGTACTCAGAAAGTTGTTGTGAAATTAGTAAATTACAAACTAAAGATGCAGTGTACTTCTCAGTTCATATACAGTATGGTATAAATAAAATCAACAAGCTCCTATATATTCATCTAACTTATTTATTTATCATGCCAGGAAGCAGTATCGGCACCATTACGAATATAACAACCCTTTTTTTTTGTTTGTTTTGGTCAGACCACGAGGTGACCTGAACAAGCCCTAACTGTAGGAGGCACCTTTAAACCCGTACCATACTCAGACTGGTTCGCACCGGGCCGGCCCAATTAAGAGGCAAAGTGTTGGCCAGATTGGTTTTTCCATATGAGAGGGGATTCGAACTCCCGACCTCTCTTAAGGGACGAGAGTGCACGGCCACCACTCACGCCAACCAAGCTGGTTATACAACAATCCTTTAACTTCAGTACTCACCTCTAGCACCAAGAAAGTACTCACGTACAGCTACCACCCATAACGTACGCATTTGCATGTGATCAATATCCCTCCCTGGTGTTGCTTCTAGTTAAAGTCCACATAACAGAAACAGAACCCTTAATTAGTTATCAAACAGTATAGTTTTTTTTTTTTTTTTTCAAGTATGTATGATGTATATGTTTTACAACCTTGATGTCTGAACCAGACCACGAGTCTCATCATCCATATTGATTCCATCCTTTTGCATCAGCTCAAGAAGTTTTTGAGCTGATTTTTGACTGCATGTTCGCATCCTAAGCAATGATTTGTAGACTGGAAGGCTAGCAAGATTGAATTTTCTGAGAGCTCGAAGATATTGTACAGCCTCTTCAAAATTTTCACTCTTCTGCAGATAGTTCGCAATGGTCACTACAATACTAGGTGATGGCCTCCAATCACAGTCTTTCGACATGGCAAGAGCTCTTTGTATGGCATCAATAGCTTTCTCTATATTCTGACTTCTAACCCATCCTTCCATCAGTATTTCCCAGGTCTTATAATTTGGAACTCCGCCTTTCTCCAATGTGCGAAGATATAATAACTCAGCTTTCCCCGTTAGTCCATTCCTCATGTATGCACCGAGAAGAATGTTGGGGACTCTGACGTCATATGCCCTACATTGAGACTCCCATTCTTCAAAAATATTCTGAGCATCCTCAATCTCACCAAGCTTCACCAAAGATGACAACATACACATGTAATTGGCACAAGTCATTCTGCCTTTTACAGCTTTAGAAGCTTCCCAAAGCCGAAGTACTCCTTCCTTATCGTTTAAAGAAGTGTATAGCGTAATAATAAAGAAATAAGCAAGGCGGTTACAGTTAGACAATTTCTTTTCAGCAACTCTCAGGACCAAAATAGCCTTGCGGATAAGTCCCGCTTTTTGGTAGATGTTAGCTAATGTGCACAAACTGCTCCATCCTACGCCAACCTGTGGATCATTCATCATTTCTTTATACACAGCCTCCACTGATTCAATGTCACTCAGATCTCCATATGCGGTCATCCAAAGGTTATAGGAGAGCACATTTAGCGGTATGCAGTTGTGCTTCATTTGCAGGATGACAGATGGTACTTTAGTGTACTGAGAAGTAGCCATATAGAGCTTCATCATCTCATTAAAGGGCTGAGTGGTCACAGCCAACCCCATGCCATTCATCTTTGCCATCAAAGCTTCCGCCTTCCCAGTGTCCCTTTCTTTAGCATAACAACGAAGAAGACGAAGACAAGAAGCCTTCTTCGAAACCGAGCCTGGCAATTTATCAAAATATTCTTCAGCACCTTCTGAACCATGAATTTTAATTGTTAATTCCAATCTGATTGCATAGTCAGCAGCACACATCCAAGAATTATCTTGAGTTTCCATCCACATTAGTATCTGCTCATATCAGAAATTAATTATATGTGTGATAGTCAAGAGGATTAAATTCGAAATTAACTCAATCGGAAAGGACATACAAGTATCTAATACAACCCTAATCAGATTCTTCAAGTGTTAATCAGCATAGAAATATTTTCCAGATACAAACATAATCAACTTCCACTCGAAAATTCGATTCAAACAAAAAAGAAATGACCTCAAAAGCGGGTTTAAAACGGCGGCGTTTCATAAGCTGCCTGGAGATACGCCGGAGCTCAGATACCGAAATCCTTCGCCCATCATCCACCCAATTCTGGAGCACAGCAGTCGTACTCCTCTGTGTGCAAACGCTATTGAAAATCCAGCTCTTGAGCTCGTCGCCGGCGCCGCGGCGGATTCTATACGGCGCGGTTTCCCTAATCTGTAAGGAACTTGAAGATATGTGCCTCCATGAACTAGCCACACAAGCAATGTCGACACTGCAATTCTCCCCCAAACACAACGCTAATTAGATGCACAGTTGAATATATCGTGTGTGTATACATAGATAGAGAAATGTATACCTTCTTAGAGAGAGAAAGATCCGGCGAACCGCTGCCATGAGCCACCGTTCTCTGCGAGACGAGAACGGAGGGAAAATGGTGTGTTTGCCTGTTTGGTTTGGCAATTGGCAGTGGAATTTTAGGTTGTGGATATTATACTCAGTAATTTTTTTTTTATAAAAAAACTATAGTCACTTTGCTAAATAATCTTTTTAGAGTTAATACGCTAAATTGTCATCGATTATAATGATTTTTCTCAATTTTTTCTTAAACAACTTTCACATGTCGAAGTGAAAGCCCCTGAAATTATTGAACGTAAATCTAGGCACGAGCCTATGCAAACACGATTAAAATTATGAATATAGAGCTCTAAAATTGTGAACATAGAGCTTCAAAAATTATGAATTTAAAGTTATTGAATTATGAATGTACAGTTATGGAAGTATGAATGTACAGTTATGGAAGTATGAATGTACAATTATGCAATTATGAATGTACAATTATGCAATTATGAATGTACAGTTATGGAATTATGAACACAGAGCTCTGACATTATGAACTTACAATTATGAACATATAGTAATAAAATTACGAACATATGCTCCTATAACAAAGAGGTATGAAATTAAAAAAAAAAAATGGTGGAAGATAATGGTGCCACTAACGGCACCGTTACCGTGTCCACAATGCATGCTGGACTCGGGTCCATAGCATAACGATTGTTCCACTAATATAGCACATAATTATGCGGAGTTAGTTGAGGCTTGCTATAAATAGTCATTGTCCTTGTTCAAATAGACATTCAACAAACGCTTCTTCCTTCCTTCATATTCATATACGTCTGAGCATATATAAATTCGTGTTTGTCGGTTAAAAGCTTGTCGGCCCGTCACCGGAAAATATTAAACTTTTAAGGTAGTGTTCATGTGACACAGCACGAAGAACTGGTCTTCCTTGTTCTGTTCGAAATTCTCTTTGTATTCCACATTCAACATCCATATGCTGAAGCAGACTATATACCTAATAACCCTCTCCTCGTTCGACTCTACTTCATTCCGCGGTGGCGACAGAATATGGTTCTCCTATCCACTTGTATTTCCACTGCCGGATTGCCCATCACTTTCATCCCACTCGCCGTCGCAGCACCACAACAAAAGCGAGTTTTTTCACGATTACTCGAAACGACATATTTTTGGCCGCAGTGGCGCTGGACGTCCTGCTCGGCATAATCAACTACCTCTACACCTACGGCGTCTCAAAGCTCCCTGTCTCCACATCCTCTCTCATCGTCGCCTCCCAGCTGGCATTCACCACCGGCGGCGCATTCCTGGTGAAGCAGCGCTTCACGGCATTCACGGTAAACGCGGTGATGCTGTTGACCATCTGAGCCGAGGTGCTGGCTGTGGGTTCCGGCGGAGACCGCCCCGCTAGGGAGTCGAAAAAGGAGTACATGACAGCGTTTCTGATGACCCTTGCGTCAGCGGCTTTGTACGGGGCTCTTCTACCGTGTATAGAGTTGACTTACATCAAGACAAGACAGTCTTTAACATATACTTTGGTTTTGGAGTTTCAGATGGTTATGTCCCTCTTTGCCACTGCTTTTTGTACCGTTGGAATGCTGGTAAGCAAAGATTTCCAGGTAAACGTACAAAATCTCTACTTCACTTTCCTTAAAAACTCACATAGTTTCATTTACTATGGTACTATATACCCTTAAAAATTATTACAAAAAGAAATAATTAAAACCCGTCTAAATTAGTCAAAATTCAATATAGTTATCAATTTTGAATTGACTAATTTAGACGGGTTTAAATTATTTCTTTTTGTAATAATTTTTAAGCATATGGTATATAGTATCATAATAAATGAAAGTATGTGAGTTTTTAAGGGAAGTGAAGTAGAGATTTTGTACGTTTACCTGGAAATCTTTGTTTACCAGCATTCCAATGGTACAAAAAGCAGTGGCAAAGAGGGACATAACCATCTGAAACTCCAAAACCAAAGTATAGGTTAAAGAATGTCTTGCCTTGATGTAAGTCAACTTTATACACGGTAGAAGAGCCCCGTACAAAGCCGCTGACGCAAGGGTCATCAGAAACGCGACCACGTACTCCTTTTTCGATTCCCCGGCGGGCGATCTCCGCTGGACCCCATAGCCAGCACCCCGGCTCTGATGGTCAACAGCATCACCGCGTTCACCGTGAACGCCGTGAAGCGCTGCTTCACCAAGAGGAATGCGCCGCCGGCGGTGAATGCCAGCTGGGAGGCGATGATGAGAGAGGATGTGGAGACATGGAGCTCCGAGATGCCGTAGGTGTAGAGGTAGTTGATTATGCCGAGCAGGACACCCAGCGCCACCGCGGCCAAAAATATGTCGTTTCGAGTAATCGTGAAAAAAAATCGCTTTTGTTGTGGTGCTGCGACGACGCGTGTAGTAGCCTATGGCGAGTGGGATTAAGGTGATGGGCCATCCGGCGGTGGGAATCCAAGTGGAGAACCATATTCTGTCGCCGCCGTAAATGAAGTAGAGTCGAACGAGGAGAGGGCTATTGGCCTGGGTATATAGTCTGCTTCCGCGTATGGATGTCGAATGTGGAATACAAAGAGAATTTTGAATAGAACAAGGAAGACTAGTTCTTCGTGCCATGTCACATGAACACTATTTTAAAAGCTTAATATTTTCCGGTGACAGGCCGACAAGCTTTCAACAGAAAAACACGAATTTATATATGCTCAGACGTATATGAATATGAAGGAAGGAAGAAGCTTTTGCTGTGTGTGTCTATTTAAAGGACATTGACTATTTATAGCAAGCCTCAACTAACTCCACATAATTATGTGCTATATTAGTGGAAGTATGCTTTGAATGATCCCCGTGATACATGGATAAGGTGGAAAGAGTATTCTAACAGGTCCAAACATTTAGGAGGAATAATAAAATTATGGACAGTAAGCCTACTTTATATGAATGGTTTCTTAATATATTTCCAACAAGGGCCGCCGCAGCTGTCGATGCACATCTATAATGCCGTTGAGGAGATACTTCCCTTCCCTTCTGATGCTTCCACTTCTAAAACTTCAATTTGGAGATGATTAAACTTTCCCTTCTGTTAGATATATTTAGCTTGTGATACAAACATATTTATAATGAAAGATTTAAAACCAATAAAGCTAAAATCATGCCATTATTCCATGAAATGCTGCTGCCATACACTTCACGTTGCCACATTCAAATTCCATGCATTTACTTTTTTAATAATGTTATTATAACACCTTCCCTTCAGATGCTTCCATTTCTAACTTCAGTTTGGAGATTAAACTTTGGGAAAATGGCACTTTTTCCCTTGAGTTATATACTTATAGCCATTTTCCCCCTCAATTATTTAGGTAAGCACATTAGCCCCCTCAATTATTCTAAAAGTGGTGGTTTTTCCCCCTGATATACTAAATTGACATTTCTACCCTTAATGTAAACATTTTATTTATTTTACTTCTCCAACAAATTATCGCGCATACGTAGGGATGACTACGGTTCAGATCAAACTGAATCGGACACTATAGCAATTGAATTAAAAGTTTCCGGTTATGAATCAGATCTAGAACCTAATATTTGGATTTCAATTTATTAAAATTATGAATAAAAAAATTGGGTCTTGAACCGTGAATCGGCGGTTCTAGATCCGGTTCGCGATTTTGAACCGTCTTTATTTTAAAATTTTATTTTTTTTATTTTAAATAATATAAATTCAACAATAAATGTATTTTATTTTTTCAGTTCGGAACATGAATCGTCCGTTCCGGTTCGCGATTTTAATAAACTCTAAATATCGAGTTTCGATTCTAAATTGTAATTGGAATATTTCGGTTTGGTTGCTATAGTGTTTGTTTGGTTTGAACCAAATTATTGTCAAAATTTGTTGGAGAAGGAAAATAAATGAAATATTTATTTTAAATATTTATTTTAAGGGTAATATATGTCCATTTAACATTTCAGGGAAAAAACAGCCACTTGAATAATTCAGGAGGAGAAAGTGCTATAAGTATATAACTTAAGGGGAAGAAGTGTCATTTTCCCTTAAACTTTTCAACCATCCTACTGTATATAGCAACACAGCACTCATATGTGTGCAATAATAAGGACTTTCCTATTTTGTAATGTTTTGAAAGACAAACCAAGGGGTGTATTCAATCATGATTTTTGTAGACTTTTAAAATTTTTTAAAGGGAAAATTGCACTTTTTCCCCTTAAGTTATATATTTATAGCACTTTCTCCCGCTCAATTATTTATATAAGTACATTAGCCCCCTCAATTATTTTAAAAGTGGTGGTTTTTCCCCCTAATATATTAAATTGACATTTCTACCCTTAAAGTAAACATTTTATTTATTTTACTTCTCCAACAAATTATTGCGTATATGTAGCGATTACCACGGTTCGGTTCGAATTGAACCAGACACTATAGGAATCGAATTAAAAGTTTTCGATAATGATTCAGATCTAGAGCCCAATATTTGAATTTCAATTTATTAAATTTAAGAATAAAAAAACTGGATCATGAACCGTGAACCGGCGGTTCCGGATCCGGTTCGCGATTTTGAACTGTCTTTATTTTTAAAATTTATTTTTATTTTAAAATAATATAAATTCAACAATAAATGTATTTTATTTTTTCAGTTCGGAACATGAACCGGCCATTCTGGTTCGCGATTTTAATAAACTCTCAATATCGCATTTTGTTATAAATTGTCATTGGAATATTTTGGTTTGGTTGCTATAGTATCTGTTTGGTTTGAACCAAATTATAGTAATAACTTGTTGGAGAAGAAAAATAAATGAAATATTTATTTTAAATATTTATTTTAAGGGTAAATATGTCCATTTAACATTTCAGGGGAAAAAAAAGCCACTTAAATAATTCACGGGGGAAAAGTACTATAAGTATATAACTCAGGGGGAAAAAGTGTCATTTTTCCTTTTTTAAAATGATAGATTTTAATAAACTTTTATTAACTTTAATAGGGTTATTCAAAACTTTTTAAAACTTTGTAACTCTATAAAAGTGTATATAAAAAACATTCATAAACTTTTATCAACATTTTTTTATTTTAAAAAGTCTACAAAAGTTATTGAAATTCTAAATTG